AGACTGGAGCTACCTGTGGGTTTACCTCAGGCCTCCTCCAATGAGGATAGAGAATTCAGACACCCCCCCCACTTTTCACACCTATTTGTTGGTTTCTGTTGGGGGGTTGCTGGGCTAAGACCCCTTTGTTCAGTTCCCTCCAAAATACTCTAGTCAGGCTTGAGAACTGTGATACAGGCCTGAGTCGCTTGTCCCATGCACATGGCTGAGGCCCAACAACTCACTGTTAGATCAAAACAAGAGGAACCAGTTTTTAACAAACTCCACGCCCGGGGCACACACACACACACACACACACACACACACACACACACACACACACACACACACACACAAAGAAGCAGTCATATTAATCGACTCCATTTGAAACTATCTCTGTACAGTTCACAGGGAGAAACTGAGACTACAGAAGTGAAAATATAAAAACTCTAGATAAACACTCACCAACTCACCACACTTCAGTTCTCCGCGCAGTTCTGTCGACATAAAATGGACTTTCATTGTCCCGCCTCCTCTTATGAGCCTGTTGCCCCTCCCTCTCCCGCCTCCTCTTATGATACAATATCTCTCTGTGGTATTAACCTTGTCTGGCTCACATCTCTGATTCTAGTTCAGTGTGAACTACTCTCGTGTGTTGCTCATTGCTAACTTCTGCCTCAGTGTCCTACTCGTGGACGTCTCTCCCTTGAGGATTTTTGTTTTCTCGCTGCCAATGTCCTTTTGGCGTTGTGTTTTTTTGTTGTCGCACAATTAAAGACTGTTTGGATTGTGCCTCTGTGTCCGGAGTCGTGCTTTTGGGTCCGTACTCTAGTGTCGAGTCATAACAGTTCATCCCAAGTTTAACAGGAATTTAACAATAAACTTTAATTAATTACTTACACTGTTACATCGGCATCGATCGGCTATCACGTCTCCAATGCAGCAAATATGTAGGCCTACCCAACATCCTGTATGACTTTGTGAACTGGTGTGTTGATTTAAGTGACACCAGACATTACCAAACATTTGACGAGGAACCAGCTTTGAAGGACAATCTGTGTGTGATTTCAATCTGCCATGATCTCATTGCACAGGGCTGTCACATCCATACGCCAATCACACTGGAGCTTGCCATTGTGATTCATCATGAGTTTGGTAGAAATAAACTCATCATGAGCTTAGTAGGCCTACAATGGAAGAGTCGCTGCAACACCCGTTGGTTTGACCTGATAACTGCTCTCATATCTGGCAAACCGAGGGGTGTCCAAAACGGCCGTGTGGGGGGTGTTTTAAAACCACCTACCTTCTCTGGTCCAAACAAATCCAGAGCATTCAGGAGCAGAATCTAAAGTTAGAAGGAGGACATACTGGCTGCTGCATTGTTGTCAGAGAAGCCAGCACTTCAACATAGCATGTTTCCTTAATGTCTGATCAGATAGTAAGCTCACTTTATCATCTCAGTCAGTAGATATCTTACTGATTGGACCTCTAAACCTTGAAGTGTTTTATTTTTCTGCATGCTAAGTATGCTTTTCATGGCAAACCCTGGAGACGGACACACCTACTTTTATGATTGATTAATTGATTGATTGATCAATATGATTGATAGAGTCCTTTTTCTTTATGAGCTTTTGAAAGTGCTGTTGCTAGGTGACACTGCAGACCTGTGCCAATACCAATCTGCTGCTTACATAGCTGGTTATTCTGTTGCATGTGATTTAAGGAGAGGTCAAACACATGACTATTACCTACGGTGGCTGGGAAGTGTAAAGCAAAATTACAAAGTGTTAAACACTTTTACAAAATGTGAGACAAATTCACATTTTGAAAAACATTTTTACATTTTATGAAAACAAAATTACAAAACCAAAAACACTTACCAAGGACAAAACAAATTTACAAGATGTGAAACACTTTTACAATCGCTGAGACAAATTTACAAGAGGCAGAACACTTTTACCAGTCCCCAAACAAATTTACAAATGACAGAATCTTGAGGGAAAGGGAATGTACCACGGCAAAACAAAACAAAATGACCCCTCACTCGATCACTTCCGGGTCACTTCCGACATTTGATACATTCCCATTTTGTCAAGATTCTGTCGTTTGTAAATTTGTTTGGGGATTGTAAAAGTGTTTCACATCTTGTAAATTTGTTTTATAAGATGTAAATGTGTTTTTTCCTCGGTAAAAGTGTTTTGGTTTAGTAATTTTGTTTTCTAAAAATGTAAAAAGGTTTTTCAAAATGTAAATTTGTCTCACATTTGTAATTTTGCTGTGCACTTATCAGCCACCGTAATTACCACACCACGCAAGGAAAAGGTTAAATGAATCCATTATATAACCAAAGTGAGCATCACAAATAGAAGGAAAGGTGCAGCTGCAGGGGCAGGTGTTATATTAATGGTAAAATAGCTCCCTCTGGTGGATAGACAGAGGTTTTGTATTTTTAAACTAGTATCTGATTATTTACAGTCTATGTTCCATCCATTATCAACATGACAACAAAAGGCATCACAACAATAAAAATATAACATAATCTGTGTCAGAATTTAGATTAGTTTTAGCTCCTACTCTCCGTATCCTCCTCCTAACCTTTCCTAAGACGGTGAGATATCACAAATATCTTTGGACAGTCACATGTCGAGTCCATGAAGTAATGAGGGTTCAGGAGGTCTAACAGTGGTGGTTTTTCTCGTGTTGTAGGGGGGTTATCACGGCCCTCTGTCTCCCCCCGTGCCTTAATGCCGCTCCTCCTAGTGGTGAGTCTGTGGTACTACCAATTAAGGTTACTCCTAAAACACACAACTCACAGACGGGGGAGCAGGGAGTCTACAGGAGGTGGTCCGCCCGTCGGGGACCGGTCGGTCCTCCAGGGGGAACAAACAGTGTGGCACACCATTGGAGTCATCATGACCAACAAAAAAGTAAGGAAGAAGTCAACTCTGACTGTCCATGAAGTAATGCAAATTTGCCTCCTGGATCAATTCAGGTACATTTACATCCGTCTGAATTTTGACTAATGTGCACGTTCTCTTTTCAAATAAAAAAATTAATTTGCCTTGCCAGAGGTGGGACTGTTGAAATCCAACATTCAGGTTGTGTTGCTACAGGCAGCTCATACTTTTCAGTGTGCAGATGTTTGTTTGCAATTGTTTAAAATACTTACAAGTTCGGCTTTGAACATACATTTTTTCTTTGAGTCTTGGAAGAATTAAGCTTAGGAGATGTATATGTTGCTTTATCTTGTGTTACTCAGAAGTCAGCGTGATCAGTGCAGACAGGAGGGGTAGATAAATGCTCTTTATTTGTGTGTGCACACAAAATTCAGGCCACCCCTGCACACCCGGCCTGCACACACCCAGCTGGGCCACCCCAGTCCAAAAAGCCTGGACACGCCCCTGGACAGGATGGGGTGGTTCTTCGCTTTTTATTTTTTTACAAGCTGGCTTACTTTTGTTTCTAAAGCCAGGAAGAAACTCCAACATGTTTTTTTGTGTTATTATTGTCATGTGTCTACTTCTGGTTTCTAGTCTCTTTGTATTGACGACGGAGTCTTGTAAGCTCTGTGGGCTGGGCATCTTGTTTATGCATGATACACTAATCCAATCAAATCAACTATTGGTGTTTTCTCAACTTACTGTGAAGTATCTTTAGTGATATTGGACGTTTACTGTACACATTATTGTGCTTTATAATTTAAGTGCTCACTTTCTTTATCATGTCCAGGGTAGAATATTTAAGTTGGACCCTTTAGTGACAAATAAAAGCAAAAGTAAGGAGTGTGAGGTAAATATTGTGTTTAATAAACAAACATCAGTCAGGGAACTGACATTAGTCCGGGGGATGGAGAAGGGGGAAATATAAAGCACAATGCACATGTGTAGAGGTGGGGTGGGGTGGGGGGGGGGGGACATATTTATCTGTTACACAAAGGTGCCCCTGTACAGTAGGAGCAGGAAGTTCTATATAACATACAGATCAGGATCCAAGTCTACGGTACAAAAACTTAGCAGCAACATGTTAACGTCGGAGACCAAGGGGCTAACAAAGTAGTTTCATTTAGAAAAAGTCACAGTATTCTTTAAGCATCAATTTGTTAAAAAGGTAAAAACAGTTCTAAGCATCCTCTAGGGTCAATGCTACTCACAAGATCCGTGTGTGAAATACATAGGTAGGGAAATTATCTATACATTTATACTCTAATATAAAGACCTTCTGGTAATGGCACAGTACAAACTCTCAGGAAACGCGACAAAAATATACAATGTCTTCACGTCACATTTGCAGATTAAAATGTAACTAAGGTCTCTGGCAAGCACAATAGTTTCAGTGATCAAAAAAAAACAACTTCTCTTCAACCAAAATAAAGGACACCATTTTGTTAGTTCAGCTATCTTGACAGATTATGTCTTTTTAATACAAAAATAAGGACAAATATAAATTAATATATATTAAAAGAATCAGATTGATACATCGGGGATCTACTGAATAAGTACAGGTATTTATGATACAATAAATACTTGTCATTCATGACTGGGAGGAGATAAACAGAGTAGTGTTTGTAACCTGGCAGGTAATATGTTTACGTTCTACAGGTGAGAGTTTCTGTATGTGTGTGTGTGTGTGCATGTGTGTGTGTGTGTGTGTGTGTGTGTGGTTCAGTAGCTGTAAAAAATACCACAAGTTTGAGCACAGCTGTGTGTGGGATCGTGCACACAGTCTCAGAGGGTTCAGGAGGTCTAACAGTGGTGGTTTTTCTCGTGTTGTAGGGGGGTTATCACGGCCCTCCGTCTCCCCCCATGCCTTAATGCAGCTCCTCTTAGTGGTGAGTCTGTGGTACTACCAGTTAAGGTTACTCCTAAAACACACAACTCACAGACGGGGGAGCAGGGAGTCTACAGGAGGCGGTCCGCCCGTCGGGGACCGGTCGGTCCTCCAGGGGGAACAGACAGTGTGGCACACCATTGGAGTCATCATGACCAACAAAAAAGTAAGGAAGAAGTCAACTCTTGTGTTTGTTTTTTTTTTTGTCTTTTTCTCCACTTCATAATAAAAAATAAGTCTGTTTTTGTACTTTACAATACAATTCAACATCCCCACCGAGGAAGCATCGATCATCAGTCCAGCACTGACAAGAAAAGAAACAATTTTTTCGTTGTTTCTCTTGTTTTTTTTTTTTTGCCTTTCAAAGGGTTTTTAAAAAACAGGTTTGGTGGAGGGTGGAAGGTTTTTTCTCAGAAGGAGTCGGACACCTTGGACGAGGGAGACGAGGGTCAAGTAAGGCGGGCAGGAACATAAAACATTTCTGTACGGGAGCAAATCTGCCGAGGGTGTTGTCTCTTTTTTTTTCTTCTATTTTTATACATTTTTTTTATGAGGAACACTTTGTACAGCCACACTTGACCACCTTCTCCACTTCCTGTACGAAAGAAGAGCCATCGGTGCACTGGAAGGTGTATTTCCTGCGTTTGCTGCGGAGGGGGGTGCAGCAGGTGCCCTGTCCTTCTGCTCCCCCCGGGCAGCTGCCCCGACACTCTAGACGGGAGACCTTCTCCTGGGTTTGGCACGCCGCGTAGCCTTGCTGTCTCTGGTAGACATCTCGGACCCGTTCACCTCGGCAGGCCACCTCTGCAGGCAGGAGGAGGGAAACGAAGGGGTTAACAGTAATCCATGCTCACGTTTGGAGCAACAAGTAGCATGAAACAAGTTTCCTTCAAAGGGGAATTCATTATTTGTAAAGTGGAGCCTTGTTTCTATATGTTTTGTGGTCTACGGTAAAATAACCACTTTGTCAGTGGAGTCTGGTGGCGATGTCAAAGGCTGTTTCTGCATGAAAAAAAAGCAACTTACTCTTCTAAAATCAATGTTTATCCCTTGGGATCCTTTCTCTAATGTTGTCAGACACTTTAAAATTACAATCTTTAAGTAGCAAAAACAAGCCATTTGAGTCACTAAGCTTTGATCTGATGCATTTGCCCTGGACTGGAGGATTATGTTGGCCTGTATGGCCTGAGGTCATCTGGCACTACTACCACCCTGAAGCCCGGCCACCACCATCGGACTGTGTCGTCCCCACAACCACCGCCACCTCATTCATGCACGGCCTGCTCCGACCTTCACCTCAGCGGCGAGGAAGTGTGGACAACAGGAACACGAGGAATACAAAGGAGAAATCCTGCCTCCCAAATCCCATCTCCCCCATCCCATTTTTTTTTTAACAAAGACAATGGTCGAGACTTGTTATGAATTGGCACTTTGATAGAATGATTTATTGAAGGAATCTATGGGAGAGTATCCAGCAAGTAATTTGCTGTCGAGAAGATTTGCTGTCCAAAAGTCGAGATCTAGAATAAACCACCAGAATTTTATCGTCCACATGAAAACAGAGTTAAATAAAATGTAAGGAAGAAGACACATTATTGCATTCTTGGAAAATCAAATTGCCCTGCATATCCTGAAAAGGTTCAAATTAAAAGAAAACATCTTTAGCAACATGTTTCATGAGTTGAGGCCAAAATGAAACGAGGCTTCAGGCAGACATATTTTGGTTTAATTGGGAGGTAAATGAAAGAATAAATCTGTCAGAGAATAAATAGCTGTGACCAGGCGGTCTCACCTGATTTATCCCCCGTGAAGGATTAAGAGGAGGCTCAGGAGAGGCTGAGTTGAAAAAGCAGCATGTTAGAAGTGTTAATGCAGAGACAACAAACACTGTTAGAGACACACATAAATTATAGGCTGTTAATCAGACACATAGAAGACAGCAAAGCAAAGTTAAAAGAGGTTTTGTTAATTGAAAATGGCTTTAAATTCAAAAGCTTGGAAAGCATACGATATTATTCAAAGTGGAAATGGAAGAAGTCAGTGTACTGTAAACACAGATGATCAAAATCAAACCTTCCAATCAAAAGATGCATCTATTGGTGCAATTCACACAACTCTTGAAACCTCCTGAAATTTTCGGGGCACGCTGCATGTGTAAACGCAAACAGCCAAAGTTTTCGCTGGACTTTTTAAGTCATGTCTTTCCTACTGACATCTCCCCCTCCATTCTGACAGGGAAAGACTCTCGCTATGTGTGAACAAGCAACTCAGGAAGGTTTCAGGGTCAGTCTGCCAGAGATTTTCAAGCGTGCATGTTGTGAAAAGTTCCCTCACCTCTGTCGCAGGCCTCTCCTGTATATCCGCTGTTACACTCGCAGTACGCCTTCCCTAGCCCTGACACTCGACATTTTCCGTGTTTACAGCGAGGCAGACTACACGGGTTGGCTGCGTCCTGGTCCTGCTCGTCACAGAGGACGCCAGCGAAACCGGGCTGGCAGCGGCAGGAGTAAGAGTAGGAGTTGATTGGAAGACAGGTACCGTGGATACACCTGAAACATAATGTGGATTTAAAAACATTTTATATTTGTATAGCACTTATCTTGAAACAATGCTTACATTGTGCTTACTGTAAACAACAAAATAAGAAAATGTAACACATAATAGTAATTAAGGGTTATATGTGAGGGAGACAAGAAAATATAAAGACTCATCAGCTGTCGGGGATCAGAACAGGTATTTGCTAAAATATTACACAAGATCAAGATACCAAAAGAATATTTACATAAAAGCCAGTTCATAAAATTTGCTTTAAGAAGACATTTTAAAAGATAAAACTGATTGAGCTAGCTGAATTTCTAAAGCTGAAACTGTACAGGCGCTCTAACAGAGATGACACAGTCACTTTTTGTCCTGAGCAAGGGGCCAGACCGTGCAACCATCGATATCTTAAAATCAATTTTAAAACTTACAGAGAGCCAGTGCAGGAGTGCTTAAACAAGAGTGATATGATCTTGACTTTTAATGCAAATTTAAATTCAACTGCCTTTTGGACAAGTTGAAGATGTCTGGACGAAATCAAAGAATGGATTGATGAAGTATGAGTTGATAAAAGGGAGACTGCACAACTGTCCTCACCTGCTCATCAAAGGTTAGAAAGCAGGCAATAATTACTCCTGAATTTCTCGCTACTGGCACTATATATCATGACATATCACCTAGGTCCTGTAGAATTTGGATTCTGGCATTCGTCTGCCCGCAAACTAAAATGTCCGTTTTGTTCTCGTTTAATAGGAAAATGTTTTTTGACATCGAGTTGTGTGTTGAGAGAGTTAGGCAATTTTGTTTTTGGGTAAGTATAACTGTGTGTCATCATTTAAAATATGAACAGAGACATTATTGACATATATTGGAACAAACTGCCAAGCAGCAGCATGTATAAGAAAAAGAGCAGGGGGCCAAGAATTGAACCCTGGGGAACACACCAGGTGATGTCTGCTGTGGACAAATAAAATATTTCAGTTTGTCCATAAAAAAACAAACAAACCTGGACAAACGCTTTTATTCCATTTTGTTTTTAAGCTCTTATGAACCCTGAAATCACTCAAATACAAAATTAAAACACTCACTTGTTGCCGTCACAGGGGTTGTTGACTTGCTGGTCACACAGTGTCCCTGTCCAGCCGGGGTGGCAGGTGCAGGTGAAGCCTCGATGCCCCGTTGGGTGGCAGTCACCCTGGACGCAGGCGCCTCTCTGGCAGGGTTGGCAGCCTGGCTCCACCCCGTGGCCCAGCCACTGTCTGGTGGTGCTCTGTGCGGTCCCTGTGCCCGGTACCCCTGGCCCCAGACCGGCCCCCAGGTCTTGAAGCTTCCCGTTGATGTAGAGGTTACGAAGGCAGCCGTGGAAGCTGCTGCCATTACGTCCACCTGAGCCATGCTGCAGGGATGAGAGACCCCCTGAGGCCGAGGCACGTTCTGGCATACCTGGAGGAAGAAAGGCACGATTAAGAAAGTGTTGCATGATAAAAACATGACCAAGGTATATTTGACTTCTCTGACAGACCTGAAGACCAAACATAGAAAAGTAACTCTATTCGTGGTGGTCCAACAGCAACAATGAGCCAACAGTACTCACCTCCCAGATAAAGTGGAGAGTCTATGTTGAGTGTGGACTGTTTGCTAATGGAGTTGATGGATTTGGGCGGCCCACCGTCAATGGACAGAGACAAAGTCTGGTCTGAGGCTACCAACTCCACAGCGTGGAAGCTCCCATCATTCACTGTCTCCACACTGACAGAGAGAGAGAGGGCGGGGAAATCCGGTGTCAACATTTGAATCATCCATCATGTGAAAGTGGAATCACTGAGAGTGTTGTGTCGGACATTTCTGCTAATGTGGTCATGTACCTGTATATAGCAGACGGAGGGTAGGATCCGGTATCGTAGCTGACCCTGAGACGTCCTCTGTACAGCTCCATGGCGATGTGATCGTTATCTCCTTTATACAACAACACACCACTGTCCTCATCTGTAGCAATCTGAGGACACAGGAAAACACTTGTTTAAATGGCCTTGAAGTTTTTTTTTTCACTTGTAGTTGTGAAGGAAATGTTGACTACATAAGGTTACAGTTTGATGAAACCTACTGCACTTAGATGTATTCCCTATAGGCCTCACTCACACTACAGTATATAATAATCTGTATGCTGTCACACATAATTCATGTTTAAATATTTCTTGGGCGCTGCCTGACAGTCTCGTACCTGTAGGCTGATGTTTGTCTCCGGTGAGAGGTGGCTGGAGGGAAGTTGCAGGTAGGACTCGCGGTTGACAAAGTTGACGCTGACGAGCGTCTCACAGCGCTCGCCCTCATAGCCATGGAGACACTGGCAGCGGGGGTCTGTTCCCACGACAACGCACTGTGCACCGTTGAGGCACTCGTGGTTGTCGCATGGGCTTGTGCGAGGAAGGACCATCGGGGGAGAGAACTCACAGAACAAGCCGCTGCAACACACAGATTCAAACGATATTGATCCAACAGTTATAATTAAAATAATGTCTTTGAGGTTCAACGTATGATAGTGATATTTGAAGCGTGAATGCTGCTCTGGAATTAACTTTAGTCAACCATTAAATAGTTATTTTAATTTGTTGTGTGCTTATCAAATTGTGAAACAACAGGTGTTCATGGTTTTAAAAACTAATTTTGGTGGACTTCATGACAATTCATCATCTGTGATTTGAGAGATTCCCCCTCCCCCCCACAAAAAAAAAAATCCAAGATACTAAGTGGGTTAATAAAAACCATGAGCCCACAGGCCTGAAGAAAAACATGATAAAAGTTAACTTTCCAAAAACTACAAAATGAAAATGTACACAAGGGGGCGCTCCTTCTACATCACACGCTGCATTGTTTTTAAGGAGGTGTTAGCACATCCAACTCTCTGATGAAGTCGGAGTTTAGGACATAAAACTGACACATTGAAAATAAAATATCCTGCAAACTATACTCTTGCTTAGCATCATTACTATATTAGAAAAAAATCTCAATGTTTCGATCCCTCTTGACCGTTGTAAAGTGTGTTCTCTGAAAATACACTTCAGGCACGGGGTCATGGTGAGAAAGAAACGATTTGGGAAATAGTAGTGTTGTAGTCAAGACCAGGACATACCCGAGACCAAGACAAGACCAAGACATTTAGGGATCGAGACAGAGTCAAGACCAAGACCAGGGCAGGGTGAGACCGAGATAAGACCAAGATAACTAGGGATTGAGACAGAGTCAAGACCAAGACCAAGACCAAGACCAAGACATCTGGGGATCGAGGATGAGTCAAGACCAAGACCAAGGAAAGGGCGAGACAGAGACAAGAGAGAGAGAGTATAGACCGAATATAAATGCTTTTGATTCCAAGACGAGACCAAGACCTTCAAAAAAATGATCTCAAGACCAAGACCGACTTTGAGTACAACAACAACAACAACAAGACTAGGAAATACCACAAATAAAACCTAACTTTTTCAACACTTTGTAAAGATATTTAAAAAAAGATGAACACACAACGCACACTTCTATGACTCACACTGTTGGTCTCAAGAAAAGTTTTTAGACATAACTTGTGTGTGTATGTGTGTGTGAGAGGCTTCCTGCAGGGCTGTGAACTGTACCTGTATCCCTCCGGACAGACGCAGGTGTATCCGTTGATGGCATCGATGCACTGACCTCCGTTCTGACACTTGTTCTCTTCACAGTCATCTTGGTCCAGCTCACAGTGCTCGCCCACATAACCGGGAGTGCACTCACACCTGAAATGTTCACAGAGACACACGGACAGAAATTATTTCTTGATAGTGAGACTAGAGCCTCAGTCTGAGTGACAGTCAATCAATGTTGACAGTTTTCTCTTTATATAGACAGCGGAGGGTGTTGACAGTCATAGTAAAGAGTTTTTTTTAAAATCTTAACAAATGGAAAAAGACATAAAAGAACAGGGAGGTCCACGATAAGATTTAATCAAGATTTTCAATTTTTTTTAATGAAAAAATTAGATTTAAGTCAATTCATAAATTAATATAATCCTTTTATTTAACTTTAATTAATAAATATAAGTTATAGTTCAATTGGAGGTGGACACAAACAATCAGTATTTCAGTCCCGGGGGAGAGAAAGAAGAAAACACCACACACTTATAATACTGTTTTTGAGTGTGTGTGTGTGTGTGTGTGTGTGTGTGTGTGTGTGTGTGTGTGTGTGTGTGTGTGTGTGTGTGTGTGTGTGTGTGTGTGTGTGTGTGTGTGTATATGTGTGGTCCACTTACTTGTATCCCTTAGGGGTCAAAATGCACTTTGAGTCGTGCTGACACGGGTTCAGCTCTGGGGCGCAGAAATCCAGTTTCTCTTCACAAAGCTCCCCTAGGAACAAACACAAAAAAACACACAAGCACACACACAAATTATGACATTTTGTGTACTTTGTATACACTGAACAAAAATAATAAACATTGTAATATAAAAAAAAACAATAATTACAATTTTTAACTCCCTTGCAGTGATTTTGTGAGTCTGAATCTGTGTGTGTGTGTGCGTGTGTGTGTGTGTGCAGCAGATTACTGGATGTGTCTGTACAGCACGAACAGAAATGTGTGTGTGTGTACTCTGATGATGGATGACTCTCTTTTGGCCAGGATCAACACAGCAGTCTGATAAATGATTGCATCTCTGGCAATGTCAGATCCTGCTCGTATTCTCGGGTGTATACCGGCCGCTCCTGAAACTTTGAACTCTCAGCGAATCACTGATGAGGCATCAGGGAATAAACCAATACTCCTGACAAGCACAGGTCCACCAGGGGGAATAATTAATGGATCACTTAGGGATCAATGGAATCGTGTCTGTGAGAGGATGGGAGATGTGTTTGCATGCTTGTGCCTCGATTCCAGCGGCTTTTTCTGCTCACCTCGACAGTCTGGTGAGCTTGATAGGATTTGATCTTTAAATAAAAAATACTTTCTAACTAAACAGTGGTGTTCTCTTTTTCCAGTATATATAACTATCTATGTTTTTAAATATAACACCAGGTGTAGTCGGTCAATAGAGGGCGCTAGGAGGCTGCCCAACCTCTCCTCACAAGACAGACCTTCACTGAATAATAAATAATAAAGGCTGCATACATGAACACTTTTAAAGGGGCTAGGTCAGTTTAATGTAGTAATGCACTGCTTACATAGAAACAGATTGAATACAATTTGTTAAATCTGTGGAGTTAAATATCAGATTACTTTGGGAGCATGGATAAAGCAAGCAACAATGCAAGGCAGGCAAGTTTGGAGGGAAAGAAGGAAGAAAGGAAGGAAGGTAGGCAATGAGGGAAGAAGGAAGGATGGCAGGACGGAGAGAGGGACAGGAAGGACAGAGTGAAGAACAGACTGACCTCTCTCCACCTCATTGGTAGCAGCTGCAACCACAAAAAACATCAGACAAAGCAGAGCGAGACAGGAGAAAACAGGACAGAGGACAGCGACACAAAGAAACACAGAGAAAAGAGATAACACCGCTAATAAAGGTTAGCATACAGAGATGATTAGCACACAGCAAAAGCAGACAAACAAGTCGCATAATACTAGTTAGAAAGAGTTAATTGTTTGGAGTCATGACTGTGTTTTCCTCAATTCCAGACACGAGAAGATAAAACACTGCATGAAAAAATAGCTGTGATATATTTCTACACGTCACTGGGGACCCTTTCAATGACTCTGTTCAATGTTTCGCCCACAGGCAGAATCAGGCACATAGTCAGAAATGATTTCTAAAGCAGAGGCTCATGGGTATTGCAGTCTATTTTGCTGGCTGGCAGAGATCTTTGTTGCCTTGTCAGGTAAACTCGATGATACCTTTCAAATAAAGTTATGACCCTTGGCCCGGGTTGTTCAAAAGGTTTAACCCGGATAGATTTGATTCCAGATTTGGTAATCCGCTTTTTTCTACCGAGGATCACATCATTCGGATCGCGTCTTCCTCCTTTTTCCAGATTCTAACTTTCAAGGATTTCTTTGATCACAGTTATTACAATCCTACTCAATAACTCACATTGCATTTCTAAAGTGTCACTTCCTAACTAATGTTTTCTCTACACACTTTAGAAGAAGACCGTATGTTTTATAATATTATGTACACACAGCCAACATACAAATACATGAGCAAACTTACATTTAGCATGTAACAGTACTCCAAATCCTGTCCCACACATGGTCTTGTATGATTCTATCAGCATATCATAAATCGGCCTTTTAGTGAATGTATATGTGTACATGCTTACAGTTTGTTGGTGTTTGCTGTGGAGTTTCTTTGGGTTCTTGTGTAGTACTGTATTATGTAACACAAGCAGCAGCATGTTCTGAAGCAGTACAACACTTTAACATACCTACACTTTTTTTTTATTTTGACCCCACATGGGGTCGCATAGAATTCAAATGGGGTCGTCTGAACTTTTTCTTAATGATCTATAAAACATACATTAATAATGCTGCCAATTGCTTAAAAATTAATCCAACCAATTACAGACTTTGTCATAAATTAATCGCAATTAATCGCACATATCGATGAAATGAGAAGAATTGCATCGTTACAGGTTTATTCACAGCATAACCCTTTTTCCACTTGGTTATGTTCATCTCTAAAATGTAATATCACTCTGTTTTTCATGTTGTTAACAGTGAAACGAGTGAAATTAAAAAATTACGTTAAACTCATCAAGTTGCTTCCCTTCAGTTCTCAATTTTTTTTAATGTGTTGTTGTTTTCTGGAATTAATTAATTCAATTAACGCGTTATTTTGACAGCCCTGATATCAACATAATATATGTTCATATATTAACATATATGGGCCGTGTAGCCAAAAACAAGGCACATGAAGAGTTTCTGTTTGTCTGTCATCCGTTGTGCAGAAATGTCATCTCAGCCTTTCTTCCTTTGTCCACAGTAATAGACAAAAAAAATCCAAAATATTAAAGTCTAAAATGATTGTTTACTTGCAACACAATAGAAAAACTATTACATCTTGAAAAAAAATTGTTTTGGATGTCTTGGGTCCCCGGAGTTTTGAGAAGTCAAAGTGGGGTCACTAGCCAAAAAATATTGTGAACCATGTGTTAAAGTTTTGAACAACAAAACTGAAGGGTAAAAAAAAATAAAAATTAAAATACCTATTCTTATCTGTAATTCCTCTATTTTCTTTAAAATAACCTGATTTGAAGATGTGATCCTCTCCTTTAGCTTCAACCTGAGCAGATCACTTTTAAACACCTGCGACCTGGAGGTGTCAGCTCCTCCTCTTGTCTGTGTGTGTTACCTGTGTATTCTGGTGAGCACATGCACGTGTAGTTGTTGATCCCGTCGACGCAGGTGAGTTGTTCTCGCAGTCGTTGTCTTCGCAGTCGTCGATGTTGATCTCGCACGCGTCGCCTTCGAAACCCTCTGGACACACACACCTGAGATCAAACGCACACACACAGGAACACACACACTAAGTATCACAGGATGAACTCATGTAGGGCTGCGTATATATCAGTATCAACACAGATCTTTAAGGACCTCAGGATGATAACGACACACACACACACACACACACACACACACACACACACACACACTCTACCCATGCATGCAGCTGATATCAGCAGTGTCAGCTCCGTCTCCATATCCCCAGTAGAGAGTCATTATTCTGTTAACGCGAGCGTGCCTCAACTCTGTGACTACTACTCAGGTTTATTACTGCGCACACACACACACACACACACACACACACACACACACACACACACACACACACACACACACACACACACACACACACACACAACACACAAAGAGCAGAATATTATAGGCCTAATAAAGAGCTCTTATGCGGCACACACTCGGGTGGATTAATATCTCATTATACAGTCATTGATGGCTCTTCACCATCAATATTCCAAGCCCTTTATGCAGGGTAAGGAAGTATGGTGTGCAGAGATGAAAACACAAACTAAGACGAGGGAAGGGGGCAAAGAGAGAGAGCGACAAAGAAAGAGAGAAGAAGGAGAGACACAGGAGGAGGACGGTTTAATTGTCTGTGTGGGAGGTTAAATCCGAGCGAGCAGACAGGCGTCAGCTCCCCTCCTGTTCAGACTAAACAACATAATGAAGAGAAGGTGATTCTCACAGCAGGGCGGAGGACAGAGCCGGTCCCCTGAGCCCTTTACCTCCTGCACACTCATCCCCACCTGTCATTAGCAGTTTCATCGGCGCAATTATCTCCTGAGGGTTCAACGGTCCCACGCTTTAATCGCTGGTTCATTGAATTATTAATTGATGTCAAGTGTGTGGTAACCGACGCCTGGTGATCATCAGTCTCCGTGCTTAGAACTTTTATGTTTACATGATTTTACATTTTGTTTTTTATTGTCCCCAGAGCACATTGTTTCAGTTTAAGAAGAAAAAGACGTAAGACCCATTTTCCATGAGATAAATGTTTGTTGGCGTAATCCCAGGATGAGTCTGCAGAGGGCGCTAAATGGCTTGCTCTTTAAATCACACGATAGTTCCCCGATATTAAACGAAGAATTTCACAAGAAGGCAGCTGACAGCGGTCTCAGGAGGCAGGACATTTAAAGGATGACTTTATATCAATGCTATATATGAACGGATGAGGGGTATAAACTTGCAAACAGTGAAGAGTTTGAAGCAGCTTCACTACATGCACGACTGATATCAACGTCGTCACTCCTGCCCGCTCACTCGTGGTGAATTTCTCTAAATGTTTCCTGCTGCGTTCAGACATCATCTCAACCCACTTTACCCAAAAATGTTACTATAGGAGGCTGGCAGGAAAAATTCTGGGTAAATTGGGGATGAAAAATTTGGCCGTTTGCATTCACATGCAGCTCACCCTGAAAATTTCAGGAACATTTTTTAGGAGTTTCATGCATGTGTGAAAACATGAATATTCATATATAATTTTTATGAAAGTCTCAAGCCCCGATATGAAACAACTTCATTATGGTTATTATGGTTTCTTTTCAAAATTAAAAGAATCTTTCACCAGAGACATACAGACTTGTATTATACAGTTTTACCAAGATAAGTAAAACTCCTACAGAAAAGCCCACTGACAGGAAGTAGTAAAATAATCTTTAACATGATTTCATACAGGAATAAAATCGAGATCTAACCATGTTGTAAGGGAAAGTGGAAAAGATCTCACCAGAAGTTGCTCCCTTCTCCTTCTTTCAGATGGCAGGTGCCTCCGTTATTGCACGGGTTACTGATACAGGCATGAATCGGCTCCTCACAGTTTTGTCCCTGCAAGCAAACACAAGCACACACGTAAAGGATAATGTGTAATGCAGAACCCTGACGTAGAGTTTGAGGCTCCATCCTGATTATTATACCAGCAGCTCAGTGCGTATGTGTGTGTGTGTGGGGGGTGGAGCAAGCGAGTAGAGAGAGACCGCAAGTGAGTGTGGGAATCGACGGAGCGTGTGAGTTACATTGTTGATGTCAGGGTGAGGTAGTGTATGTACAGTTTAAAGGACCAATTTCTAACTCTGACACCTAGCGATTCAAATGGGAACTGCAGTCGAGTTGACGTGCAAACAGTCTGCCATGTGGTGGACTCTGAAGCTTCAGTGTTTAGCCAGCTCAGCATCGGTCTTGAAACATTTCTGCGTTCTAACCTCTCTCCATTTTTAAAAGCATCTCCAATCATTTTTCCTAGTTTTACCACATTTTCTGCTCATCAGTCGGGTGGATTCAGTTATATCTGAACTAGTTTGCTTTACCGCTTCCATCGCTGCTACAGCTGTGGGAGGGGCAAAACGGCCGTGTGGTGTTGCCGCATACCTTCTCTGGTCCAAACAAAAACAAGACCATTCTGGAGCGCAATCTAAACTTACAGGGAGGACATACTGACTGCTGCATTGTTGATATAGAAGCCAGCAGTTCAACATAGCATGTTTCCTTAATGTCTGATGATGTAGAGAGTGTGTGTGTGTGTGTGTGTGTGTGTGTGTGTGTGTGTGTGCGTGTGTACCTTAAATCCGTAGGGGCAGTTGCAGCGGTAGTAGTTCACCGGGTCGTTGGAGCAGGTGCCGTCATTCTTGCAGGGGTTAGACAGGCAGGGCTCACACTTTGCCTGAATGCTAATTTCCACAGGACCTTTGAGATGCAAACACACACACACACACACACACACACACACACACACACACACACACACACACACACACACAAGTATTCACACAAGGGCGATCATTAGCTTTATATTGTTCTGCTTTTAGAGCAGCCAGAATACAGAGTTTGACGTACACTCAGACAGCGGCACATTGTCAGAATCCTGCAGAAATCTTGCATCCTCAGAGGTCAACTTTTTTGTGGTAAAGTCAAAGAAGGGAGATTTTTCACAGGGTGTTATGTATGTTTCCATTACTCTCTCTTTACATAATAAAATGGACTGCTAATGTGAGCATGAAATATTGTGAAATAATTTGTGGTAAAAAAATAATTAGATGAATGTATGGATGGTAATACTAGCAAGGAAAGGTGGAAAAATAACTTTTCTTTGCAGAAATAAAAAGAGATTCCTCAAAATATTTTGCACAAGTTGCATGGATCTAATTAGAAGTGCAATGATATAACCTAACAATGAGTTGTATGCAAGATTTCTTTTGTGGGATTACGATGACTCATACTGACGAAACATATTTCTAAGAATCCTAACGTAGGGGTAACACACAATGCTGGTCGGAACACGAGGTCTGAGGGGGGAGAGGGGCGCTTCAGTCAGGTCAGGGGCTCAGAGGACGAGGACAGAGGAAAGTCTGGAGGAGCTGGGAAGATTTGGCACTGAGGAGAACGTACTGGGATAAGATGTGTTACTTTACCTGGCACTAGAAAACCACAAGGCCCCGGGACTTCTACAGTGCGTCAGTTAGGTCCGGTTTAAAAATAGATTTTTTAGTTACGTATTCATAGTTCAGGTGATAGAATGAGGTTTAAAGTCAGGGTCATGTTGCAGTATCAGGAATCACAGCTAACGAGCAAATTTGTGGAATTTAGAGTTGTGAAAAAAAGTTAAATACTTACATTTTTTGCTGTCAATTGAAAACTATTTTATTATTTTGTTTAAGTTTCCAGATTGATCTTTGGATTGAAATAATTATCCAATTTGTAGGCCTTTAAAAATCCTGTCAAGGCTGCTCAATCACTCCAAAATGCACCCTAAGAAATGTGAAACAAAACTGTTTCTCATACTTTATGAATGGATACACGGTTTTCACTGGACAGCAAGTTAAATATTGGCAACTTGTGGTCTCCTCTAGGAGTCCTTGTCAAGTGAGTTTGTCTGTGATAGTCTGCTTTTCTGCAAAGTCTGAATGTTTTTGGACACCTTATAAAGTGCATGAACTCAGTATGTACTGTATCTGCTGGTTTTTGTGCATATTTTTTCTGTGCTTAGGTTTGCTATATTTTGGCTGGTGTGTGTTTACCTGTGCAGGTGAACTTCTTGGACGGCGTGGTGAGCAGCAGTTTGTCCGTCATGTCGCCGGGCCCGGTACAGCGGGCGATGCCGGGCTCCTTGTAGCCGCTCTTCACCCAGTCTGACAGCCACTGCATGTGACAGTCGCAGTACAGAGGGTTGGCACCCAGAGCCCTGCCGGAGAGAGAGAGAGAGAGAGAGAGAGAGAGAGAGAGAGAGGGAGAGAGGGAGAGAGGGAGAGAGGAGAGAGAGAGTAGAGTGAGAACAGTTTTCATTCCCAAAAACAGGGTGCAGAAATCAGCATTTTAGCCTCTTTGTCACGACTGATCGCTTCATCATTTTCTTACTTTCGCTCCCTGCACCATCCAAGCCTTAGCTTTTTGTGTTGTGATTTCATTAAGTTATAAAAGATTCATACCGGGGCTTGTAGTCTCCTTATGGGTAGAGATAATCTGGAGTGGGATAAAAACTACAAACAGCAGCGGCCTGTTAGAGGAGCTGTCCATGGTGCTGATCCCAGTGACGGCCTCCTGGGCAGACACTGGCATTCCCACCAGCAGGTAACCAAAGCTTATGGCATGAGGTTTAAACTTCCACCCATAGCTTGTGTGCACTCGACATAACCTCATAACCAAAAAAACGACATCACGAGGAAGTGGAGAAAGAGAAACAGTAATACTTCTCTGGAGTATAAAATCAATTATTCAGTTCTTAATTAGGAGTTTATTTCTCGACAAGGCTCTCCTGTGTTATGTGCTGCTTGTCTGACTATTGATTAAATGACACTCTGAATTCTAATGTTTTCGATCTCTGCACCAGTGTTGGTGTTTTGTAAATCTATGAAGCAGATTTCTCTTGATACATACAGCTGATATTTACACTTGGACTTTGAGCAAAAGTACGTTAAAAATGATGATGTCCTCATTTTTGCAAGACTATAAAGTAAAAAAGGTGGATGGTTTGATTTTAGAGAAAGCGATGAACGCTGGTGTTTTTCTGTTACTCACAAGTGGGAGAGCGACGACAGGTCTTTGAAGGCTCCCTCAGGTATCAGTGATATGTCGTTACCATGGAGAGATCTGAGTAAAAGGGCGAGAGAAGGAGGAGGAAGAAAGAGGAATTCAAAATGTCTGTGTTAACAAACCGCCTTTGAATGTGTGTCACCGCGAGATGGATACTCACAGCAAGCGGAGAGACTTGAGTCCATCGAACGCCCTCACCGGGATGCACCGCAGGCGGTTATAGCTCAGGATTCTTTATGTGAAAGAGAATAAAACATGCAGACATGGAGACAAGTGCAGAGATTGTGTTCAAGATGTCTTTGAATGCAGCGTTTTTCACAGCACAACACCTGTCACTGCGAGCAAAAGAGACACACATGAACACATCCATCCAGTCTGAATTTCACACAATTACAAAAACATGAATATGCGTAAATCAAAAGAAAAAAAAACCTTGACTTATTTAAGCCTCTAACCTACTTATGTGTAACCATTACTTCTACTGAAAACCCGCCCATATTTGACTTCTGTTTTGTCGTTTTAGATCCATCTTTTTTTGTTGATTTTTTACGTATTTTATTTCTGCAGAGGTTTGTGCAAGCTCAGCATTTCCTCAAGGTTTGGCTTCATTTTCTAGCTCTCACACTACATACTGAGGGACAGATTCACAAAAGGATTGCGCAGCTTTTTTGCGCATGCTAAACTTGTGCAGATGCGTCAAAATGCAGTTAAATGCACTCCAGTCTAGAGCAGCAGAGCAAACAATCTGTCTGTACGGGTTGTGCCAGTTTAAATGAGCCATTATGTCATTTGGAGGGAAAATTGCCTCTTGGGAAAAAGCGCCTAATTCACAAACACCAGCACTAACAGCCTCTCGTAGCTAGAGTGGAAAAAATTGCCTGGATAGTGCTCTCTAATTGTTTAATTAGACCTTGAACAAAGAAAATGATGCCCAATATTTTTTGAGCTAAAAGAGCCTCAAAACAATTTAACTGATCAGGCCTGGAGGCTCATGTGAGGAACTTTTGGTTTGTGTCAATTCTGGCGCCCCCTGTGGACAAAGTGGTACATGTTATGTCTTTACTGATTTTGTCCTGTTGTCTATTTTGGTTAAAATAAATGAATCCTGCTTTCTACTCAGAGTCAAATGTATCACTCATCCAGAATCTTTCCCTGTTGAAAATGTGAAGAAAAGCCGTTTCTGCAGAAGAAAAATACTTTACTTTGACACCTAGTTCACGGCACGGCTTATTACTTCATACAATGAGTCAAGCTTTACAATGAAGGTCTTGTGTGCTTTTGTAGTTCATAAAGAGGCATCAGTATTATTTTCATTCTCTTTAATCACCGGCTTAAACCTCATCACAGGAGCTTTAAATCATTTTGCTTAAATTACTGTCATTAGATCGTAGTGTAAAAAAGGAGCACCTAGGGGCGCAGGTGGACTAGTGGGTAGTGGGCCGCATGTACGGAGACTATAGTCCTCCAAGTGGGTGACCCAAGTCCTGCATGTCACTCCCCACTCTCTCTCTCTGATTTCTGATTTTAACCACTGTGACAACATTTTAATAAACTAAAAAAAAATTCTCATTTTATCCCCGCTTTCCTTTTGTCAAGGGCATCTTCTCCCAGAGTCTTCGTGAACCCTATACAAACTTTATACAGGTATACATACACACACACACACACACACACACACACACACACACACACACACACACACACAGTCATTGCAAAGGGACTTGTGTAAAGCCAGACTCACAGGGTAAGCAGCTCGGACATGTTACTGAGGCTGTGGTTGGACAACGTGCTGATCTGGTTGTTACTCAAATCACTGAAAAGGAAACATAGCAGATACATAAAACACACACATACACACACAGGCAGTGCTGTCAACACATGCTCAAACAAAATGCAAATTCACAATCACAGCGAGGACTAGCTGCTGTGCTACATATTCCTCAGTGGCTCAGTTTAAAGGCCTACTTGAAAGTCCCATTATGAGTGATAAAACACAGAGCTCTGCTAGATCTGCACTCAGTTAGTTTTGGACTTTAAAAGCAAAGAGCAGGGGAACACAGGCCAAGTCACGATCCTGTTGAAAGTGTGTTTACGTTGCTTTGACAGTGCGGAAATCTGGATTGTGATGTTGTGGATGTGGGTGAAACTTACATGAGTGTTAGGTGTTTGTAGTTGGAGAGCTCCACGGGGACCTGAGTGAAGTGGTTTCCATCCAGATACCTGAGAGACAGAGATCAGGGCATAGAGAGAGAACGTGAGGGAGAGAAGGAGAGAAAGAGTGGAGGATTTAAAAAAGACATATGAAAGAGGAATGGAGCGGATTCATAGATTGTATAAAACATGGACATAGTCTCCATGACGTCACATATTGGTTTCTGAAGTGGCATTTTAAAGCCTAACGATAGATGGTCGCCATTTTGGAAATGCTGTCTCAACCTAGCTGTCAATCAGTCAAGAAAAAGACAAACAGATGGAGCTGAGGTGATGTCTTAAGCCTTCTGGTAAACAAATACAACATTCTCGCCTGTCAGTCAACCAAACGCCCCAAAATATGCAAATTTAAAAATAACTGAAACAGTCATGACCCTTGAGTTTTTAACGATCAAGAGAAACAAGCTATTCAGTCCTAAACTAAGGCTGCAAAACATGTTTATTTCTGCAGTAAAAATTGACATTTGTCTCAAGTGGACACTCCGGGAACTGCAGTTTCTTGCACTTTTACATTGGTTTCATTTTTTTTTTTTTTTTAACAACCGTTTTAGCTGCTGGGGCAGATTGGGAAGGAACACGAGAAGGTGGGAAATTAAGTTATTTAACCATGTGGGAAATTCCTCATCTCCAGCAGTGTGAGCAGTCATTACAGCCTCAGCCATAATAAACACTGGGGTTTAATATCCCCCACAGGCGTCCGCTAATATAGAAAAACCGTCCTCTCCTCACACACACACACACACACGCACACACGCTCACGTCTGATATCCTATCTCCTCCACTGTGTGACAATGTGCCGTTAATCCAGCATATTAATTAAGTCTTTGTTAATATTAAAAAAGCACGTTCCCCACAGGAGGAGGAGGAGTGAGGTGATAGAAAACACCACCAAGCCTCCTGTCTGAAGTTTAATTTAGAGCTATTATTTTGTGATCAGCAGGGATTTAATGTGTGGGAGTGTGCAGGGGGGTCGGGGAGGGTTTGAGTTTCAGTAAAACAGTTCTCAGTCTCTCTGAGCCTGTGCATGAATGTGTAGTTTCCTGATTTAGCACAGCTTCGATGAGTACAAATATAGATTCAAATACACTATTTATTAAACTTCCAGTGTCCTCAGTACCATCGTAAGACTCAGACAGGACAGCAGACCACATAATAGATAATGCCCCGCACATTATAGATATAAGAAATAAGGCAGGCGTTCGTCACAGATTGTTATGTGTTTGGTGTTAGAAACGCTCTTACTGATTTCAGGATGCGAGTTATTGATTGAAGCAGCATTTCCATGTGTTTGGAATTTTATTGGCTACCGGGAATGTCAGTCATCGGGTATAGATGCATCAGTCGGGGGCAGGCACCTCCTTTCAAAAATGTCATAAATTGTTCTCTGGATTGGGATCGTAGTGACTCTTGCTGATGCAGCAGGACCATTTTCATTGGAATATTATGACGGAAAATCCTCAAATGGCAGGTCAAAAGATAGTAACAGATGGTATTTCTTTGGTGTTCGGACAAATGCGTAGATTGTGGCTGCTGTGGTGGTTGGATCTTGAAATGGTTTACACGGTGGGACACAGGAATCGGGGCTTTCTAACGATGTTCGACAGGAGTGTGATTTATAAACAGCAGTGATATATAATATAATTGTGATAATGAGAAAACACACATCTGGCCTGCGGATGGGCCTCCAATTAAATTCATTGTGAATGTAACTTAAACTATCATCTGCATATAACAATCATTTTTCTCCATATTAAGCAACTTTTACATTTTTTTTGGTGGTCTTACATTGATTGGCTACCATTTTTATTCAGCTTTTCAAAACTACTATATTTAACTATCATCAAATGCATATGATAACTATCGCAAAGCAAAACATGTCTGTTGAAAATTTGGTGGATTTAAGTTTTTGTTTACAGGATGAGGAACATTAAAAATCCAACTGCATGATCAGACGTTTTATTTTTATGAACTACTTTTAGTGAAAAGTCAGGGAACAATTAAAGCAGCACATGTTTGTATTAAATGAAGTGCTGCCTGACTTACAGTTCAGTGGTCTCTTTGGGGAGGCCTTTGGGCAGCGTGGTCAGACCTTTGTTGCTGCAGCGCACCACAGTGTCCAGACAGGAACACTCTGCGGGACACCTGAGCACCGGAGAGCAGCTGTTCTCTTCATTACCTGAAAGAGAAAACAGAAAGACAGGAGGAAGGAGTCAAGAGTGGAAAAAGGAAAGAAGAAGGCTGCAGATGTAGTGACGTAAACCTGCTCCAACTCACCCTCTTCACAGGCAAAGTCCTGGACGGCTACATCCTGGATGGGTATCTCCTTCAGGAAGTAAGGGTTCTGACAGCGAGGGTTACCGGTGACGATGCGCTTCCTTCTCAGCCAATCGCCGAGCCAAGCCAGGTGACAGTTGCAGTTAAAGGGATTGGCCAGAAGGTTGCTATAGGGAACAAAATAACATGATTTGAAAGGGTTAAGTGTACATTTACACTGATTGGTTTGGTGCGTGGACTCACAGTGTGGACAGGGAGTGCAGGGTGTCGAACGCCCCGGGGTTCATGGAGGTGATCTGGTTGTCGTAGAGCGAGAGGAGACGCACTGAGCTCAGCCCGACGAAGCTGCTGTTACTCACACAGCTGATACGGTTACTCCTCAGCATGCTGCACAAACACACACATTAAAACACACACATTAAACATTACTACAGTCAGAGGAATATCGTTCCGAGCAAGACGTTAAAAAGGCTGATGATTGGTTTTAAAATGTCTCTGCTTGACTGGGTTTTAGCAGCGAAAAATACATCCCCGACATGAACGTGAAATATGAACCATGAAGGACCCTGAGGACATCTGGAGCCGATCCTACTGGCTATCCCAAGAGTGAGAAAAAAACCACTGTGAAGCAGCGTTTTGTTATCAGTCAGCAGAGACTTGGAATAATCTCCCAGATGA